AATATGATTTTTATGTTCAGAGATTCTAGTTTTAAGAGTCCTACTAGTCTGTCCTACATATGTTGCATTACAATCCTTGCAAGATATTTTATATACTACATTGGAGTGCATCATAGTGTGTAACTTATCTTTTTGTACTTTGATGATATTGCTAAGACTGTTAATACCTTTATATGCTAATTTGAGAGTTAAACAGTCTTTAAAATAATTTTTAATTTTATTCGAAATATTTCTTATATATGGTATTGTAAAATAATTAATTTTTGGAAAATTATAATTGTTATTATTGTTGTTGATTGAAGAAGGTTTATTGTCTAGATCTATCTTTTTGTAAATTCTTTTATTGATTGTTTTTAATATTAAGTCTAGTGGATAACCATTGTTCAGCAAAATTCTAATAATTTTGTCAAAATTTTTTTGGTGGAAAGAGGGATGTGAAAGGTGTAATACTCTGTCAGTAAGGCTTATTATGACTCCTATTTTATGTGAATGATGGTGTTGTGAAAAATAATTCAGATATTTACCTGATGTGGTTGGTTTTTGATACCAGTCGTAAATAAGTGAATTGTTCTGTTTTATTAAAGTGATGTCTAAAAAATTTAATTTATTATTACTAATTTCTAGAGTAAATTGGAGTCTTGGATGATAATTATTAAAATTATTTAAAATGTTATTAATGTTATTGTTATTAGTTGCTAAAGCAATGTCATCCACATATCTTATGTAGAAAGATGGTTGAATGATGAGATTATTTAAACAGCTTGTTTCTAAATCTTGTAATACAATATCAGCAATTGTGGGTGATAATGGAGATCCCATAAGTACTCCAAAAGTTTGTTTATAATATTTGTTGTTAAAAATGAAAAAAGATGTATTTAAAACTAAGTTTAATGCAGTCATAAATTCTATTTTTGTTAAGGTAGTATTTTTTTTAATATAATCCCATCTGTTATTTATACCTATTATAATTAAGTCAGTAGGAGTGTTAGTGTATAAAGATACAACGTCCAACGAGTATAATGAATCATTGTCTTGAATTTGTAATTCGTTAAGATTTTTGGTTATGGAAAAACTGTTAGTAACTGTAAATTTATTTTTGGGTAAACTGTCTTTAAGAATTTTGTGTAGAAAAGTGGATAAATTGTGTAAAGGACTGCCTGTGGACGAAATTATTATTCGTAATGGATTATTGGATTTGTGTATTTTTGGGACACCGTATGCACGAGGTAAAATCGTGTTAGAAGTGTTCAATCGTTTATAAGTAATGTCATTTATGTATTTTTTTGACTTCCATCTTTTTAATATATCTTTCAGATTGGAGATAACCTTATTAATTGGGTTCCGAGAGAGTAGTAAATAAGTATTTTTGTCATTTAGTAAATTTTCCATTTTTTCGATATAATCTTGTTTGTTCATGGCTACTACACTATTGCCTTTGTCTGTATGTGTGAATATGATATTATTATTATTTTTGATAAATTGTTTTGTTGTGGTATACATTTGAAGAATCTTTTTTTCTAAATTTGATTTATTTAATTTAACATTTTTAATTTGATTAATAATAAGATTCCTTAATTCTGTGAAATTTAAATGTTTTAATTTACGTATATTATTTTCTATGTGTTTGATCATATTAATAGTTATTGTTTTTAAATTATTGGTGGGTGTTATGGATGTGCGTTATTTTCGATTCAAGTATATCGCGAGTATGAGTGACCGACTGGCGATGCGTGCGCACAGCGAGCGGCGCTGTTGTATTACTTCGTGTTTCTTCGATTGTTCGACCGTTCGCAGGGAGACAAACTTTTGTAGACGGTTCGATCGGACGCACGCTCGTGTGATTCGAAATATATACTTGGACTCAATTCATAGTAATCCGATTCTATTTTACACCCCCAACCTACACAACAGAGAATTGGCGACGAGGATGGGATACAGCTATTCTTGGGGTTTGATTAACACGATAAGAGTATGAGTACAAAAGCTAAATAGAATCAGGAACTTGAGATCTAGTGATTTACGCAATATGGCGGAGGTTGTGCTACACGGAACCTTTGCCATTGATTCTTTTGATCCGTCCACTACTGAGTGGAAGCGTTGGCTGCAAAGATTTTTGGCGGCCGTTAAAATTTTCAAAATTCCGGAGGATCAGAAGACGTTATATTTGCTACACTACATCGGGTCAGTTGCGTTATTTGCAATAAGTTGGCGCCTGTGGACCCATACACTGCATCTTTCGATACTTTGATCACGAACTTGGGCGAATTCTATGCCCCAGAACTTTTAGAGATCGCGGAAAATTTTCGTTTTTACCAACGGAAACAGAAAGAAGGCGAGTCGATCAAGGATTTCGTGGCTGCATTACATAAATTAAGTGTACATTGCAATTTCGGTGCGTACCAGAAAACAGCACTGAGAAACCAATTGGTTTTTGGCCTGACTAGTCGACGGGCTCAAACCAGATTATTGGAAACAAGAGACCTAACCTTCGAGAAAGCAGTTCAAATTGCTACAGCATTGGAACTTTCCGAGAAGGACACACAGCAACTTCAATCCGGAACGGCGGCTGTTGAGTACATTGGTGCCGGGACGAACAAGGCTGAGAAGAAGAAGAAGAAGAAGCCGGTCAAATCGTTCAAAGACAAAAGTGAATCTGTTAAAGCGAAAGTCGATAAATCTCATACAGATGTCGCGAGTTCGAATGCGTTTTCTAATATTTCTTGTTTCAGATGCGGCGGTAATCATTTAGCAAATAAGTGCACTTTAGATCGCAATTTAAGATGTAATAATTGTGGAACGCCAGGTCACTTACGGAAAGTGTGCATGAGTGCGAAGCGTGCATCTGCGAATCAAGTCGAGGAAATTGTATTTGTGGAACAATTAGAGCATCGCGATAAATTCTACAAGACGTTGCGTGTGGAGAACCGTTCAATACGTTTCGAAATCGACAGTGGAGCGGCAGTTTCAATCATTAGTGCAGGTACAGCACGACAGTTTTTTCCGCGTTTACAATTACAAGCTACACCGTTACAATTGATTACATTTTGCAAGACGCCTATTCAAGTCATGGGTTTTCTATCGGTCAGAGTTGCTTGGCGAGGAAATCTGATTAAGTTAAATTTGTACGTTTCAAATGTGAATAGGGAGCCGTTATTAGGCCGCGAATGGATTCGTAAATTACAATTGCCTTTGACGGATTCAATTAATGCATTACATTCTATACACAGTCGATACACAGTCTCGAGTTACAGAATTATTACAGAGTTATCGGGCAAAGTTGAATCCTTCATCTTCGAAAATACGTGGTATTGAAGTGAGTTTAACTATTAAGGAAAATACAAATCTGGTTTTTCTAAAAGCTCGACCAGTTCCTTTCAAATTGCTACCGTTAGTGGAACAAGAATTACGGACTCTGGAATAAGACGGTGTTCTGGAAAAGGTTAATACATCTCGGTGGGCTACACCCACCCATCGTTCCCGTGCTTAAGAAAAATAACCGAATCCGTATTTGTGGTGATTTCAGTGTCACGATTAACCCAAATTTGTTAATCGATGAGCATCCGCTGCCTACGGTTGACGAATTATTTTCATCCATGTCGGGAGGTTTTAAATTTACAAAGATTGATTTACAACAAGCGTACTTACAATTGGGAATACAGGAGGCAGACTGCGATTTACTTACATTAAATACGCACAAGGGCCTTTACAGATGTACAAGACTTATGTTTGGCGTAGCTTCAGCGCCGGCAATTTGGCAACGCGTAATGGAAAATTTGCTACAGGATATTCCGGGAGTATCAGTCTTTCTGGACGATATTAGAATTACGGGACCTGACGATGAGAGTCATTTACGTCGTCTTGAATTAGTTTTACAGCGTTTAGCTGACGCGAACATTAGAATTAACGAGGACAAAAGTGAATTTTTCAAAGATTCGATACATTATTGCGGTTACAAGATTGACAAAAACGGAGTACATAAGACTACGAATAAAATGAATGCAATTAGTCAGATGCCTCGACCAAGCAACATTACAGAATTACGTTCATTTTTAGGCATGATTAATTATTACGGTCGTTTCATTAAAAATTTAAGTACAATTTTAGCTCCATTACATACATTATTACAAAAAGGAGTTGTTTTCAAATGGACTCGGCAATGCGAGCAAGCTTTTCAATTAGCAAAAGAAAATTTCAAAAGTAATACGATACTTGCACATTTCGATTCAAAGTTGCCGCTGATACTGGCGACTGACACTAGCCCTTATGGCGTCGGTGCAGTGTTATCTCACCGTTACCCTGATGGTACGGAACGAGTTATTCAATACGCGTCGCAGTCATTGTCGAGCACCCAGCGGAGTTATGCACAGATTGATAAGGAGGCATATGCAATTATTTTCGGAATCAAGAAATTTCATCAGTATTTATACGGGAATCATTTTACATTATATACTGATCATCGACCTCTCGTACAGATATTTTCGCCTACAAAACCTTTACCAGCTTATACAGCACTACGTATGCAGCATTACGCGATTTTCTTACAGGGTTATTCGTTCAATATTCAATATAAAAATTCAAAGTTACATAGTAACGCCGATTGTTTGTCGCGTTTGCCGATTTCGCTGAGTTCTTCGACTGGATATGATGTAGTAGATATATGAAATTGCAACGTTACAAGACTTACCTATCTCGATGGAGAAATTAGCACAGGCTACTCAAAAAGATACTCAGTTAAAGGAAATTATAATTGCATTACGTGAAAAGAAAGAAGTACCGTCGAAATTTCTATTCAATATTAATCAGGCTACATTCAGTATACAAAAAGACGTTCTTTTCTGCAACGGTAAGGTAGTTATACCACAATCATTACGTGAATATTTTCTGAAAGAATTACATAAAAGTCATTTCGGTATCGTTAAAATGAAAGCATTAGCTCGTACATTGTTTTGGTGGCCTGGGCTGGATAAATCCATTGAGAAATTAGCAAATAGTTGCAGCATATGCAAACATACCGAAATGATCCACCGAAAGTGGAAGTTCATGATTGGGAACCCGCCAAAGTATCATTCGAAAGAGTTCATGTAGACTACGCAGGACCGTTTATGGGTTCATATTTCTTTTTGATGGTTGATGCCTTCACTAAGTGGCCGTTTGTTTTTGTAATGAAGGACATCACAGCTAGGAGTACCATTCAGAAATGTGAAGAGATTTTCATGAATTTTAGTTGTCCAGAGACAATGGTCATGGATAACGGTCGAAGTTTTCGTTCTACAGAATTTTTACAATTTCTTGCTTACAATAAGATTACGCCTAAGTTTACAGCTGCCTACCATCCAGCCACAAATGGTCAGGTAGAAAGATTCGTTCAAACAATGAAAAGCTCTTTACAGAAAATGTGTGCTGAAGCGAAAAATCAAAATTTTACATTAAAAGAAGCTTTGCGAGTATTTCTTATACAGTATCGAGTTACACCTCACTGCGCTACCGGAGTTGCTCCGGCGGAACGTATGTTTAAACGACAATTACGTACGCATTTAACTTTCAAATTACCGAATAGACAGGATTTTACAAATTGCAATACAAATAAGATAGTTCGAGAATTCTCAGTAGGGGAAAGCGTGAGATGCCGTAATTACAATAGTAAAGAAAAATGGAAATTTGGAAAAATTATCCAGCGTATTGGCAAGTTACATTACAGTATTAGGCTAGAAGATGGCCGAGTGTGGGAACGGCACGTGGATCAAATTCTTCGTTCTAAGGAATCTGGGATACACTCAGAGAATTGGTACAACCAATTGGATTCAGGAGATCCTGAAACACCTGTTACGCCTGATCAAGTTACGGTTTCGTTAGAGGAAAACAACCCCAATGAAACATCGTCCGAAGCTGGAGAAAATCAATCATCTCCAATTGCGGAAACAAGTACACCAGAGCCAGTGGTTATACGGCAGAAAGAGCTGCCTCAACGTAGGCGAGTACCGCCAGCTTGGGTTGCCGACTTTTGGATGGGTCAACCTAGAAAGTAGTTCTTTTTGCTTAGAGAGAGAAGAGTGTTATGGATGTGCGTTATTTTCGATTCAAGTATATCGCGAGTATGAGTGACCGACTGGCGATGCGTGCGCACAGCGAGCGGCGCTGTTGTATTACTTCGTGTTTCTTCGATTGTTCGACCGTTCGCAGGAAGACGAACTTTTGTAGACGGTTCGATCGGACGCACGCTCATGTGATTCGAAATATATACTTGGACTCAATTCATAGTAATCCGATTCTATTTTACACCCCCAACCTACACAACAGTGGGTAAGCAAAAGTTTTCTCCAAGCTGTAAGAGTGATTGTACGTTGTTCTTGTTAGGTATAACATAGCTACTTAAATTGATAAACCATCTATTATTTAATTCATCTATATCATATTTTATGTGATGATAATCCAACGGATTGATTTGAATATTGTATGTCTGATTCGTTGGGTTATTACAGTGAGTGTGATGTATGAAATGAGAAGTATTATCTGTGTTAATATTGTTTGGACTGATTGTGTTGAATGTATTAGTTATACAACAATAGTTGATTCCGCGTATTGTCTTAATCTTATCATATGTGTGTTTGGAAACTAACCATGCTTCCAACAACTAACCAGTTATTATATTAACTGTTTTAAAGAAGAAGTTTCACTCTTTAAAACGCGACCAGAGAAAATGTCCTACGATCTTTGGAAGCAGAGATACAGTTTCTTAAATATCGACAAAATTTGTAGGTTTTAAAGTGATCCCCTAATTGTTGTGCGTAGTGTATATAAATATATTTACATCACATAATATAAATATACTTGATATCACAATTTTTATTTGCTTTGTATTTTTTACACATTTATGGACTTTAAGGCTTTATGGACTTTATGGACTTTAAGTTAACTAATAATTCTTACTGAAAAAAACTCAGCTTATCAATACTTTGTGTATTGTAACATGTTGGAAAGGCACACTTTGCTGGCATCGTAATTAAAAATGGTTTTTAAATTGTGGTACATAATAATAGGTAAATAATAGGTAAATAATAGGTAAAGAAAAGCCACTTCATCACAACTTTTAATAAAAATATACAATCGATGAGTTTTTGCATGAAACGAAGGAATCT